CTTAATAAGCTTAGAGCCATAAAAAACGACGTATGTATTTAAGCATGCTGATAATTTTAATATAAAAATGATGTATTTTTAAAATTGTACTCTCTTAAATAGGCAGAATCTACACAAAAGAAATTGGAAAATATGGTTAAAAAAAAGCTGTATATCTATTCCAACATTTTTTTGATTTATGGTTTTATGATTCTAAAATTCAACTTTAATTTCAAGCTTGTCGGATAAATCATGATACAGGTCTCCACATTCAATAAGATTTTGCATCAACCATGAATATTATAATTCATTTCTCAATAATCTTGATTTTGGAATAATTATGACGTTCTTAAAAAGATTTCAACATAGATCGCTGGTACAAAAGAAATTGATAATATTAAAGAATATAGCGAGGTTTCAAGAAAAACTCAGCAAGATAGAGTAGCAAAGTGTCAAAATTTACAAGGTGACGCATGCTCGGTTTTATTGTTGTTAGGCTATGATTTCAAACAAATCCAAACTGATCACCTACTATTTGCAATCTAATCAGGACGAGGTTGAAAATTCAGATTCTGAAAGGAATGACGGTTATTCTTAGAATGAAGACTATGATAATCAAGATTTGGATCAGACAAATGATGAAACTGATGATACTCACGAAACTTTTCCCTCAGTAGTAGCTGCTGTTGAACGTCAAGAAGAGACAGTGATGACAGAACTTATGATGTCACAAAACTTAATAGAGATTTATAAAAACTTTCAGGATAGTCGCAAATGGTGCCTTTCGACGAGGAGGATACTCACTACAATTTTTCGATCAAATGCTCACATGAACAGTACATAATGTGTTATTTATGTGACGTTATGATACCATAATTCATAATCCCACGCAATATATATTTTCTTTTTCACAAAATACCTTATAAAAAGGTGAGCTTAATGAAATCAAGCCGTATATAAGACTTAGTTTGTTAGAAGTCCTGAAAGATCATCTTGATTATTTAATGACATTTGCAAAGGTTAGAACATTAGCATACACTTTGATTTCTAACTATGCATTATTCCTAAAATAATATATAAAGATCACGTTATACGATTTAAGGTGTGCGATAGACCAGCCAATTAAAGCTATGCAGGGAGATTTTAATTCGGAGAAAAACCACGATTAAGATTGGATCAGATATGCAATATACGAAGTGAGTATAAAACAACACACAATGACGAAAAAATATATAGAGAATTGATATTTGAATTTAATTTATAGTCTATAGAAGTATGAAACCAGATCCCTTAGGAAATCCATCACAAACAATGGTATAATGTGCACCTCTGTGGTGCTATTGTCAATAGATATTGTTGATTTATAACCGATTCGGTATGAACTAGCGAAAAATATAACGAATATTATTTATATATATTACTTAAATTTATAGAGACGAATCTTGCAGTGTTGCTTTCGACATACTGAAGATTGTTAACCGTACCACATCAGGAATCAATAAGAATGGAGACCTCATATTGAGAATGTTATCTGGCAATGAATTTAGAATTTAACGGTACGTAAGTTAGAAGGACTTGCAAAACAGATAAGGGCACGAAGTTATTTGTAGAAAGCGGGCTTAAACCGCCGAAAATATTAAAGGATATGTTTGTACAATTAGCTGAATGGTCAATAACGGTTTTACGTAATTTGACAAAAGTCGGCTTTGTTCACGCAGGTGAGTAATAGATGATAAATTGTCTGGTAATCATTTATTTCGTATTTTTTTATTGTCCCGCTTTATAATTTGTTCTCTGGAAGATCGCAGGCAAATGTCGTGTGGCATTTAAATAAAGTTAAACATAAAAAATTCACACAATTAACGATAAAGAGGAATTAACAAAAGAGTGGAACCGTCTCTTTCTTCACCCATTGCAGCCGGTTCTCTGTATGAAGAAGCTTTGAAATTTTGTTAGTAAATTTCCCCAGTTTCAAAAAGATGTCGCCTAATAGTTCTCGCTAATGTCAACACCATTTTTCATTATCGTGGAGTACCTGCTATGCTATTTTTCATCTTCGCCATTTCCATGGATATCTTTATATTTTGATGATACGCCATGTTAGATTGTTATTTCATTAAAGTTCAGATTTTTCCGTATAACAAATCGAATTCATTCAATGAAGCAGCAATCATTAGCTAACACGAAATTTTTCTTAAAAATTGATGAAACTTGCATTCAAATTATTTAAACGAAACGTATACGAATAAATTAAAGGTAATAATATAATTTGAATTGAATACTCTAAGCGATACACAGTCTCAAGAAAACAAATTTGTATTAAAGTTGTCATTTTTTTTAAATAAATAACTAGATCAAATTTACGGTTTCGAGTTACGATAACCCATCGTCTGAGGAGGAATTAAACCTCCGCTCACCCTGATTAACCGAAAGAACTATCCATATCAGACCCTGAAGTGGGATGCCCAGAACTTAAAGACAGAAAGGATCACATGACAAAAAACAGTGACCAACAAGTAACAACACCCCCCCCCCCCAAAAGAAAAAAAGGAGACATAGGCAAAATTTACCAGATTGAAGGATACCCAGGAATACTTCGCCGGCTTGACCAAAGACTAGAGCTAGCTAAACTCTTCATTGCCTTTAGCTACATCACTCTCCATGTCTCGAATGAGTGATCATTAGAGTGAGCTCAGGTGCTGTATTTATAGTCAGCAGAGAAGACATAGTTGGCCGTTTTTCAGAGCATAATCTTTGCACCCTAATAGAGTTACTATAAGTTTTTAAACTACTAGGGCAGGCACTAGTAAAGACAGAGGATCCGCTTAAGGTGCCAACGGCTTAACCATAAAACACTCTCACAAATGGATACGGGCTGGCCACTAAAAGTGACGGCCGAATGAAATTACTAAGATCATTCAAAATATTCACAAATTAATATACATAAGCAACTGAAGATGACAATCCCAGAACAATCGAATCCGGAAAAATCCAAATCTATTGGACCTTATGATTCAAAGGAAAACCAATGAAAAACCCGCCAAAGTTTAAAGTCGATAGCGAAGACTCTGCAGGTTGACAAGCCCGACAGACCTCTCTGAAGGAACCTATTATCCCAGGGAGGAATATATCTATAAGCTTGATCAACCCAGACCTAGGAGGACTCGAAAACCCCTATCCAAAACCAACTTTGAAAAAGACAATGTATAATGAATAATCACCTGATTAGGCCAAGGAATTTATATATGAGGATATTTAAAAGTGTTTAAATATAGCAAGATGAGAGCAAGAAATTTTTATATATAAATGATAATGTTAGTACTCATAAAGACGAAATAATTAAAAAAGTAAATAAACATTTTTTTTGTTTAAGGGTGGGTTCCTGTTTGTTTATTGTTTATCAAAACACTGTTTGTTTATTGTTTATTAAAACATCAATTTTTTCATGAATACGTGACTTTCCTAAATGAAATCAACGTGACTATCCTTATAAAAAGACTCAGGCTGCATCCACTTTTTTTTTATCTTTAACAAAATACTTATTACTTTATTACTATTCACTATATTTACAACATTCACAATGCCAAACAAATCAAAGCAAAATACCACAAAATCCAATAAACCGAAAAGCAAATTAACTCCTGCTACGAATAATACCCCGGATAACACTGACAATATTAATAAACGAGAAAAGCCTGTGGATAAGAAATTCGCGCTTGTAGTTGAGAAGCCTGCCACAACTGGTGAAATGGCGTTAGCAAACAGAGAAGAAAAGCTTGGTACGGGAAACGTCAGCAAAAACCCATACGTTGAAGTGGTCCAGAAAAGACTCCGATCTTTGGGAAAACGACGGGTAAATGTTTATTTTGCGAAGGATGCGTTTTTATGAAATATCAGTAACAATCTTGACTAACCTTTCACTCTTTATTTATTATTTGATTCCAAAGATGAAGCATCTTCAATATGAAGAAATGCTGAGATCGGGGGACCAGACACTAAATCCAGATCAACTTCAGACATTGAAGCTGAAAGATAACGTCGAATTCGCTATACAAGAGTTAGAGTCGATCATAAAAAGCTTAAATTCTGTTGAAAATGAAGTATGTCTGCTTTGTGTTTTCGTCTACAAATTTTGATTTTTTGAAAGATTTCTTAATTTAACAGGAACTCGAGAATGTGAAGCAAAAGAGGGCTCAAGAAATTAAGCATGAAGAATCCATTGCCGAGGCTGTCGAACAAACGAAGACTCAAGAAATTAAGCATGAAGAATCCATTGCCGAGACTGTCAGACAAACGAAGGCTCATGAAATTAAGCATGAAGAATCCATTGTCGAGGCTGTCAAACAAATGAAGGCTCAAGAAATTAAGCATGAAGAATCCATTGCCGAGGCGGTCAAACAAATGAAGGCTCAAGAAATTAAGCATGAA